AAGAGGATAGAGAGTTTTTGCATACCGTATTTCGGACGTCCGTTAGTTTTTTCTCCCTAGTGCGCATGCTCGTAGGAAACATTATTACAGATACAAATGCACAATTTCCTATGAGCATGTGCGCTAGGGAGAAAAAGCTAACGGACGTCCGAAATACGATATGCAAAAACTCTCTAACAATACATTTTCACCTAACAAAAATACGAGGTTCAAGTGATGGTATTTTCATTTAACTATATAATTTAATATCTCATACATAAGGCATGGTATCACTATATATCACAGCATTCTATATCTATATCTATGTATATATATATATATATATATAACTAGTTGTTATTTATCTTGTTTCTGTAAATCTGAGGAAATGCATAAAACCCAAGAGAGTTGTAAAACCTGAAACAATTTATATCGTGTTGTCAATAAGAAAAAAAGAGAAAGGCCCAAACATAACAAATGAAGCTGCATGAAACCAGCTATTGTGCTGCAGCTGATGCGGCTGCGATTGATTAAGATAGAAAAGAGAGATGGATGATGGAATGAAGGCAGATTTACACCTTCCATATTTCCATGATCAAATATGCTTCCAAACCATAAAAAGGAAGCTTCTCAGCTGGAACCAATTTATTACTGTGATTAAAGAAAGGTAGGTGGAATTACTTTGGGATGAAGACGGGAGAATCATAAACTCTGGCCTTTGATGGCATCTGTTGATGGGGTGCTTTTTCTCAAGAAATATTGAAAACAGCAAAACAATATTCAAGGATTTTTCAAGAGATATGCATTTAAAAAAATGTAAATTCGCCGTTGCGTATTTTAAGAGCCGTCTATGGGATGAATTGACCTTATTAAATATGCATAAAACAATCAAAGTTAATCTAAATATAGGTATTAACATGCGAGAAAGAAGAGTTAATAACTAGATATGCGAATAGAAAATGATGAATTAAGGCAGGTTTAGTATTAAAAATCTTACAATAAATGATGAAAGTTATGCAAGGAAGTTAATTGTTTCTTGTTGAATATGTTCTTATAAGGAGGGGGTGATGTAGAGGGGGTGTTTAGGGAGGGGATGATAGGCAAAACGTGTGAAAAACACGATTTGCATATCATCAATCGATTTGCATTTGATTATATTGTCGAGGAAAGAATGATTGAGACTAAAAATGCTTAGCATTCAAATTTTGCTGATGTAAGAATAAAATATATTGTTTCCTATTATAGTCTAGAGCTATATATATTGCCTAATTATAGGTTAATATCTTAAAATTATCAATTTAAAGTTATAGGAGTCAAGCCTGTTTTAATAAACAAAAATACATTCGTATATTTATTTATTTTTTCTGGGAGAAATATACAAAAAAAGACTTTTTTTTTATTATCACTTTGTTTAGTTGCTATGTTCGAGTAAAAATACTTTCGATGTATGCCATAATATTTTCGATGTATGTAACCTATATATTCATCAATTATATTTAACTGGAAAATATAATAATACTTTTATAATTTGCTTCAACGAATATCATAGTTCACCAGATATACGTGAATCAAATCAAAAGAATAATACATTTTCATCTAACGAAAACACAAGGCTCTAGTTATGGCATTTCCATTTAACTATATAATTTAATATCTTATAAATCAGTCATGTTATCACTATATGTTACAGCATTTTGTATATATCTCTCTCTATATATATAGCAAGTTGTTATTTATCTTGTTTCTGGAAACCTGAAGAGATGCACAAAACTCCTGAGAGTTGTAAAACCTGGAACAATTTATATCGTGTTATCAATGAAAAAAGAGAAAAATCCAAACACAACAAATCAAGCTGGATGAAACCAGCGATTGCACCAGCAGCTGATGCGGCTGCGATTGATGAAGATTGAAAAGTAAGATGGATGATGGAGTGAGGCAGATTTACACCTTCCATATTTGCGTAATCAAATAGGGTTCCAAACCATAAAAAGGAGCTTCTGTGCTGGAACCAATTTATTACAATGGTTAAAGAAAGGTAGGTTGAATTACTTTGGGATGAAGAGATAGCACCATAAATTCTGGCTTTTCCTCGCATCTGTTGATGGGCCGCTTTTTCTCAAGAAATATTGAAAACAGCAAAAGAATATTCAAGGATTTTTCGAAAGATGTGCATTTAAAAAAATGTAAATTCGACGTTGTATATTTTGGGAACCGTCTTTGGGATGAGTTGACCTTATTAAATATGCATAAACCATCCATAAGAACATTTAAAGTTTCTAAAGGTAGGAATTAACAAGTGTTAATAAATAGATAGGCGAATAGAAAATGATGAATTAAGGCAGTTTTACCATTATAAATCGTATAATAAATTATCAAAGTTTATTTTTCCCACTTCAAACTGTTCTTATATCGATGGGGGTTATGCAGAGAGAGGTGTTTTAGGTGGGAGTAATGTAAAACTATTAAAAGACGCTGCATATTGTTAAAGGGATGATTAAGATTAAAGATGCTCACGATCCACTCCAACCACTCAATCTTGCATTTATAAGAATAAAAAATGTTGTTTCATAATGTTGCCTAGATCAATATATAATATATAAATATATAAATCTTTTTGGTGCATATCATTAATACTTATATTTTCATACAGTCATATTTAACTGGAAATTATATAATAATTCATTTATAGTTTCTTTCATGAAATGCTACCATAGTTCACGGGAAATACGTAAATCAAATGAAAAGAATAATACATTTTCATCTAACGAAAACACTAGGTGGTTCTAGTTATAGTATTTTTATTTAACTATATAATTTAATATCTTATAAATCAGGCATGGTATCACTATATGTTGTAGTATTATATATATATATATATATATATATATATATATAACAAGTTGTTATTTATTTTGTTTCTGTAAATCTCATGAAATGCACAAAACTCCTGAGAGTTGTAAAACCTGAAACAATTTATATCGTGTTGCATATAAGAAAAAAAAAATAAATAAAAAAATAAAATAACAAATCAAGCTGGGTGAACCAGCTATTGCACCAGCAGCTGATGCGGCTGCGATTGATGAAGATTGAAAAGAAAGATGGATGATGGAGTGAGGCGGATTTACACCTTCCATATTTCCGTGATCAAATAAGGTTCCAAACCATAAAAAGGAAGCTTCTCAGCTGGAACCAATTTATTACTCTTTTTAAAGAAAGGTAGGTTGAATTACTTTGGGATGAAGAGGGAGGATCATAAACTCTGGCTTTTGCTCACATCTGTTGATGGGGCACCTTTTGTCAAGGAATATTGAAAACAGCAAAACAATATTGAAGGATTTTTCAGAACATATGCATTTAAAAAAATGTAAATTCAACATTTCATATTTTAGGAACCAACTTTAGGATTAATTGATCCCATTAAATATGCACAATCCATCCATAAGAACATTCAAGTTTCTAAAGATAGGAATTAACACGAGTTAATAAATAGATAAGCACATAGAAAATGATGAATTAAGAAAGGTGTATTATTAAAAATTTTACAATAAATGATCAAAGGTAATTTTGCCTACTTGAAAGAGGGTCTGATCTTATGGGGGGG